TCAGCAAAGAAGATTTCTACATAATCAGTAAAGAAGATTTCTATATAACCACTACTTAGTGTAAATTGCTTCACTCAAAACAAGAATTAAACATTATTAAACTCCAATAAACATGAAATATGATCACTCATGGACTTGCTTACAGAAAAGTGTTGAGTGCAGACCGCTCATGGATTTGCTTACAGAATAGTGTTGAGTGCAGATCTTAATCAACTAAATAAAAACAAAAATGGTTATTAAAGTAGTAAACAGAAAGCATCATAAAAATGGTGTTATTATGTAAATTATTTATTACAGTAAATTATATATTATGGTAAATTATTTATTATGGTAAATTATATATTTAAAATAACCAAACTTAGGTTTACCATCATTAAAATTCATTGAAAATTTTGATTGTCTAATTTTTAAAATTCTTGTCTTGAAATCGTCTTGAAAATTTTGGATGTCTGATTTTTAAATATTTAAAAAGTGCACTGTTTCTGTATGAGAGAAAAAAAATTATTATTCAAAAAATGATTGATCTCACTTGGTTCAATTTGATTAACAACTTTTTCATAAATTCCATTAGCAACTGCTAAATACTGAGTGATAAAAGACATCTACTTAAGCCTGGCCTCATGTGCTTATTGAAAATGCAATGTTTTTATAACAGTGAGAACCTTAAAAAAACTAGATTCAAACTGCATGCACAAGCTGTAGGATAATTAAAAATAACTAGAGATAAATTTGATGATGCTCTGCTATTAGGTTGTATATATAGCTTTTTGACCTCACTTATTTGAATTTATATATAGCTTTTTGACCCAGCATTAATCTTTGGAGCGAAGGCCATGTCTAAAATATCCAAAAATAACAAAAGAAAATTCCAACAGGATTCATCTGACAGAATTTAATAATTTTTTGTTATATATGATTAATGGCAACAATATTCTAACCAATAAAATTTTAAAAAATTTTAGAAACTCACATTTATAAGTTGTGATTCATCCCATCATTCGATAGAAAAGCAACTGAAACCATGTGTATGATTTATTCAATGAGTGGAAGCAGCAATATGAAATATAAAAGTCAAAATTTTGCAGGAAAGTTTAAAATTAGTTTCATAATACTTTTTTTAAAAAAGTAGCTGAAACTAAATACATGTTTTTTTCTTTTAAGACATCAAACATTTTTGTGTTAAAACCAAATAGTTGTCGCATGAGAATTATATGATTGTAACTGATATTTTGGAATAAAATGAATTAATTTAGAAGATGTAGACAAAGTATATCATTTGTTAAATACTTTTTTTAAAATTTTTTGTTTTGAACAAGTTTTGACAAAAGATTAAAGTATAGAGCAGTAACTGTAACTATCTTTCAGTCCTTCAGAAGAGTAATTTCAAGTCTTTTCATACTATCTTTCAGTCCTCCACTTGGGATCAAACATTGGCCACAATATTTTTCTACTGTTTTAGTAAAAGATTATCTCACTAAGGTTCTCTAATATCTTAATCAGGCAATCAAAAAGAAAGCAAAAGTTCATTGATATGAACTTTTTTGAATTTCTTTAATAAATAGGAAAAATTAATTTTTTTAGTTCAAATTTTAATGACTGATGAAAACTGATGTCATTTAAATAAAATAAAAAAAAGGAAATATCAACACATACCCACAATATTTTCCTTTAAAACATTTTCCATGTAATTCTCTGATGTTTTTCAAAAAATTCATCTCTTAAGAGAAGTACAAGGACTTTTTATTATATATACTAACAATTTAACTTCCTGGGAAGCATGTGTGGTCACACTTGTTCGTCAACGTTTATAGTAATTTTTAATAAAAGTTAAGAAAACTTGACCAAAACTGTTAAATAACTGTTGAGAAACTGAATGAAACAGCAATACCTCAAAAATTTATTTTCTTGATGAAAGGAAACTAATAATATGCAAAATAGAATATCTAAAAAAAAAAAAAAAAAAAAAAAAAGAATTAAAAAAAAAAAAAATTTTCCGAAAAAAAAATATACCTAAATATTTTACTTTTTTTTGTTTTCTTTTTTTTTTTAAGGATGTTTGTTATTTACCACTGCTAAAATTAATACTAGTCAAGAAAGAAAGCAGATAATTCATAACAAAAACAAAAACATTTTTTGACATTTATTTGTGACTTTTGTTAGTCAGTATATTAAGGAGATTATTTGCAATAGAAATAAGGACAATTTTAAAATTTGTTTTTCAAATGTTTTTGCTAAACTTTACTGTTTTTATCAATGCACAGGAAAAGCAAGAAAGCTAATTGCTATATGTAAAATAATAAAAATTCATTAAAACTAATGTTCAAATATAAAATATTTGGTTGTTTTTATTACCCTCATTGAAACAGCCTGCACTTTTGTTGGATTCTCCAAATTGTGTAAACTCTATAGTTTATTTCCTGACGAATTTTTGTTATTGACCAAAACCTGCATTGTTATATTACTGAAATTTTTTAACTAAATTTTTAGGAGCCTATTTAAAACTTTTTTTTAAGTTTTTAAATGCATTTTTTTAAAACAGAGCAATTGTTACGTTTATTATCTCTAGTAATTTGTCTTGACGTTGAAAACTCATAGTTCTAGAGTACATAGGAAATTAGTTTCGTAAAAATCTTGAATAAATTGCATGTTGTTAAATTGAGGTCCTTAAACTATTTTAAGGTTTTAAGTTGACAAATTGCATGTTGTTAAATTGAGGTCCTTAAAGGGATCCCTAAGTGCTATAAAGATATGATCTCATATGAAAGAGCATAAAAAAAAAATGTTTGATGTATATTATTTTTTCTAAAATGTAATAATGAACACACACTAACAAATTTAATTTTCAAAAAAACATTTTTCTTCGATTAAAAAAAATGCGTCTTGTCCAAAGTTTATTGACTCTACTGCCTCAAAAAACTTTGTTTAATTTGACGTTTGTACATCAAATTAAACAAAGTAGACAAAATGTCATTATTGCAAACTTATAAGTTGGTAATTAAATTTAAAAGTGAAGTAGTTTTTTTTCAACTAACACATAATTACTTACAAGAATAAGTTTTGTAGCATTTTGTGAAAATATATTTGTATATTAAATTTTTTTTACAATTTTAATTTATATATTTGTGTTATAAGGGCAATTCCACCGCTAAAAATGAATAGAAGTCAAATTTTAAACTCTTTTTAGTCAATGAATATTGACTTAGACACATGAAAGTTTATTTAAAATATTTCCTTAGTAGAAAAATAAATTTATTTCAGTAATTTTTATGGTTTCAAAAGTGACGGTTACTCTCATTTTTGCTTGATAAAAAAAATAATTATTGTAAAATGTTTTAGTTAAATTAACATTTATGTTAAATTGCTATATTTTTTTGGTTCAAATTGATAAGGTTGAATAGACATTTTATTAGGAATTAAACTAAGACATTGCTCGAATTAACGCAAAAAAATCTAATCGCGATAAAAAATTTTTTTTTTGCTCTTTCTCCACCCCCCTCTCTCTTATAGCTCGCGCCGATGTGCGGTAATGGGGGGAAAAAATTATCGTCAATAAATCAAAAAACATCGCTAAAAACTTAATAAAAAATTAGATACCACGTTTTTTATAATTTTTTGTTTCTTGAATAAAGGACTAATAAAAGTTTAAATATAATTAAGTTTTTCATTTAAATGGTTGATGTTTTTATTCAACAAAAAAACTTGGTTTAATAAATCGAATTATACTTCATGTTTAAAATAAGGCTTAAAAACGTTTAAGTAAAAAAATTGCTGGTTTTTATTAGCATTTTTATACTGTTTGAAAAAAAAACTAATAAAAAAGAATTAGCTAATAATATATTAATTAAGAATTATTAGAATTAATAATAATAACAATTAATTATTTTTTATTAGTTTTTTTTTAAACAGTATAAAAAAGTAAATAAAAGTCAGTAATTTTTTTGCTCTAACGTTTTTAAGCCTTATTTTAAGCGTGAAGTTTTGATAAACAAAGATAAAAACCAACTTTTCAACTTCTCGCTTTAACGACCTTGTAAAAATTTTCCACGCAGAGATTTAAAGTAATATAAATTCAAAAATGTTTTACGTTGAAAGAAAATCTCCGCGCGAAAGAGCAAATCATCTATTCATCTATCTATTCAGAATAATAAATTTTGTGTGACGTTCTTTATGATAAAAACATTACTTTTAAGAATTGCTAAAAAAAAATGCTAAGCTAGAAAAAAAGTAATTAATCAACCAAAAAAAAAAACAAGTCGCGAAAAGATTTTTTTAAGAAAAAACTAATCACAAAAGTGTGTGGAGTAATCGCGATTGCAATACTCTTAATACGAGCCCTGTAAGACTTTTTTATAAGTTCTAAACTATTTAAAACTATTACTTAATAATTTTTTTTTAACGACGTCTTTCAACCGAATGCTATTATACTGTTTTTGCAAAACTAATTAAAAAAACTTGATTAAAACTTAACTATTTATTCACGACTTTTTTTTACATGAAAATCGAAGTAGATATTCTAAAGTTGTTGTGACGTACTAACGTGATTTTTAACGACTAACAATCGAGTTTCAATGGTGAAAAAATAAAATCAAAATGGAGTTGTTTTTTAGTGATTTCGGCAATTGCTTTTTGTTAGCAAGCATTTATTATTACAATTTAGTAAAAAAAAAAAACTTTCATATTTTTTTTTTATGCTCTTTCATATGAGATCATGTTAGGAGCACTTAGGGATCCCTTTAAACTATTTTAAGTTGACAATTTAAATAATTGCTTTTATCTTTGCATGCTCTGCATCATTATCTTTGCATGCTCTGCATCAAGTGCATATTTTTGTTGCAGCAAATATTATTTATATTATTACCATTAATTGAAATTTTGCAAGCTGAAACTTTGTAAAAAAATCATAAAAAAATATTTAAATTTTTTATGAATTTTTTTACAAAATTCAATTATTTAATGATGATTGTCAAATAAGTTTATAAAAAAAATATAAAATTAAAAACCTGTACAACAGTCATGCTAAGAACCCCAACTTCTTGATACCTTCCAAACGAAGCAGGATAATACAAAGATTGCCCACTTGCTGGAAAAACCTGACCACTTTCAATTTTAAGAAAATTATCTGGAAGTTCTCCAGTCAATACTTGTTGGCGCCTTTGATCTAAAAAAAAATTTTAATAAAAAGCTATATAAATAAAAACATGTTCATTTACAATATATTCTCTAATTATAAATTTAAGGAAAACAAAATTAAAAAAAGTTAACAAATAATGTTGAGTAGTTGGCAGTATTTACAATAGTGCTGGTAAGTGTTTGATATACTAAAAGCAGTTTTAACATAGTGATCTATGACAAACCCAGATATTTTTGGTACCACTGAAACAGTATCATGTAACAAAAAAAAATAAGCACACCTTAACATTTTACAAGAAAATGCTCAAAAGAAACATAGTTTTATTGTTATTCCCATTTGGTGTGTTGCTTTGTTTTATCTAGTTTTTTTATTATTGCACATAAGAAACTCAAACATTTAACTTCCATTCTTTCAAATTAAAATTTCATTTTGCATATTTACTTTCTTTAAACACCTGAAAATTGTTTTATATATTTAAAAAAAAATGCACACAAAGTAAAAACTTTAGCTTGCTATACAGCTCCAGGATTTTTAGAAATCACTTAACATATTTTTCTTAAAACTACTGTATAATCCATAATGATAATGGAGAAATTAAAACTAGAACCTTCGAGAACCACCTTAATTAAGGGTTCATACCAACATTTAATTTGTTGTAGCTATGTAGCTCAAAATAAAATAAATATATTGAACTAGGAAAACAAATTACGAAGAATATGTTGAACTAGGAATAAAATTATTATATTCAAAAAGTTTAAATAAATAATAAACAAAGTACTATGACCGAAAAAACTAAAAAATATTTTTTTGACTTTAGTTGCAAAAACATTACATTTATGTGATAATATTTGGGGTTGATGTTTAATTTACACATTTTTTATTTTGTCCTTACAGTGTACTTGAAATCAATTAACTCTATTATTGTATTTCTGATGCAAATATATAAAAGTTAAAATTGTTTAAAAAGGTTTCAGAAAAAGAGTGCTGTACTTAGCCAATGTAGGGTCGTACTTAGCTAAATACTTATGCAACTCTTCCTATTATCTCTTAGTGATGGGACAGCTCTAAAGCTCAGTTAAATGGTTCTTAGGCCGGCTGGTAGTAAGATTTCGTAACTCTGTGTTACCTCTCAGAGAGGCTTATTCCATCAACAGCTGCAAAATATCAGAGTAATAACAGTGCTATATTCTTTTTTGAGTTCACTCGATCATCACACTACTTACTAATACCCTAAAGCTGACTTGGATTCTTTTGTGAGTTTCTTTGTGGAGGTCCTTGGGCTGATTTCTTTTCTCTCATATATGATAAAGGCGCCTCCTAAATAACCTCCTGGATTCAGGTAGGAATAGAAGTTTTAATTCCTTCATATCAGTTCCAAGCCAAGCCTCTTTCTACTCCATGGTTTTTAACTTATTGTGCAGCTGCTATAATCGAAATCATTTTTCTAAAAGAACAACTCTCCTGAGAACAAACTTATTTATTATTGTAAGAAACTGACGTAAGCTTTCCTGAACATTGATAAAAACGGTAAGGTTTAACAAAAAAACTAATAAAAAAGTTTTTTTATTAGTTTTACTAGTTATATTCACAATAACAAAACATAAATTAAAATAAAAATAAATAAAACTATTTTAAGTAGTAAAAGAATTGAACTTTACTTTAACTACTTTAAAAATCAAAACGCTGTAGTTAAAGTGCGCAAAGCATAAAAGCAGTAAATTTCTGAACAAAAAAAAAGGTAGCCTAAGTAGCCTATTGTCAGTGTAGTAATTAGGGCTGCATGTTACATATGAGAAATATCAGCATTTCTAATGTTTCTGGCTTTAGGTAAGCCCAGTGAACACTTAACATCACCTCACACACTGAAAAGACTCTTTCACTGGCAGTACTTGTAGCAGGAATAGCCAACAATATTCTAGCAATCAATGCCATTGTCGGAAGCTTATGTTCACAGCCTTTCCAGAATTGTAATAGATCACACGCTGCCATGGCCAGAGCCAAGTATTTTTCAAATTTATGTTTTGTATTATTACTGCCAGCTATAGACAATGGAGTGGAAGCTGTTTTAAAATTTGCCAGCAAATCATACAATTCAGGGTCAGCTGTACTCTTTTTTAAAGAAGGCAGCTTTATGTATATGTGTAATTATGTATCTAATTATGTAATTATGTAATTATATATATTATAATTTTACATAATTGCATATATGTACATAATTATGTGATGTATTGTAGAAATATTAGAATTATTTTGTTCTATCTCCATTGAGTTATTGATAGTGTTGTATACTTTAGAATGTTTTCTACTGTATTGAAACCTAAGTCATAAGTAAAAAAGTTGCGTAGATAACATTACTTTTAAAAAAATTTATATGCTATCTCCTAGTCTTTCTTTTTTAATGCCATCTCCTAAAGTCTTTCTTTTTTAAATTGTTTTAACTCAAAACTTAAAAATGTGGAGATTATAATTCTAACGTCGCGTTATGTTTTGCATTGAAATGCAAATTACAAAAATTTCACTACTATGAATTTTTTTTTGGTCTGGTTAGGGTAAGGACAGTTAGTTTGGCTCGGTTTATTTCCAACAATTTCAAAGCTCGGGTTCTGTTCGATAAGAAGTAAAATTTGGGTTTGGTTTAGTTCGGTTGTAGGAAAGGTTCTAGTTTGGTTTGTTCGGTTCGGGTTCGGTTCGTTTCTTATCTCTAGTTTCTAGCGCAAATTATAAAATATTTTTTTAATATACTGACTGAAAAAGTCACGAAAAAATCTACCTTTTTCCTTGACTTGTATCAATTTTGGTAGTGGAAAATAGCAAATGTTATAAAAATAAGATAACAAGTAAAATAACATAACAACAAAAAATAAGATAACAGTAAAATATTTTATAAAATATTCATGCAATTCAATTTTCTTTTTTCAATATTTAATTTTTTTGACTTATTTTTATCTAGATTTTCTATTTCATATAGTCTTTGATTCTTTTCTTCGAGTATTGCTGTTTCATTCTCTCTAGTTTTGTATTGCTTTATTTTGCCGCAAATTCTTAAATCACTAACTATATAAAAAAGTGGCCAAATTGTCTAAAAAAAAAAACTTTAAGCGTGGACAAACAAGGCATGCAACTGCACACACTTCCCAGGAAGGATCGAGTAAATTTAATTAATTTCCTACAATAAATCAAATATATAAAAGATGCAGCATAATTTTCAAAAACTATCCATATTATAATATATTATGTTGTTTAACAACTGCAAAAAAAGCTAAAAAAATAAAATTTGAAATAACTTTTACCAGTTTAAACTATTACCAGCAGCAAATTTAAAATCCCTAAAACTTATATTTGTGATTTAAACATTCATTTAGAATAAAACTGATGTAATAGTCTCTTGTTTATATTTTGTTTGTGAGCAAACTTCATAAGAAAACAAAAAAAAGTAAAATACACCAACTCAAAAACATGTGCATCTCTAATTTTCTTTATAACTTTTTAAATTCTTAAATTTAAATCAAATTAAAAAATGGCTGAATTATTTAAAAAGCGAAAAAAAAATTTAAACAGTTACTGCATCAGAAGCACAAGTAGAATTATCATTTCTAATTTAATTTACCGCCATAGTCTGAATATGAAAATCCAATATTTCAGATTTTAATAACTATATTTGCATTATTTCAGTTGTCAAATCCTCTAATCACATCTATATACATACTTTTTATAATTTCTTCATCATTTGAAGCCATTCTGGAACAAGTTTAGTATAGTGTAGTGCAAGAAACACATGGGACAATTCCAATGGAATTAATTCAGTTCTAGGTGAAATAAAACATACTTGAATATCAAATAAAATAATGTATCAAATAAAATATTACGCGATATAATATATGTAAATATATTGTGTAATGCAAATATTAATTAAAAATTGCTTAAAATATTTTTAATTATTACTTTAATTTAAATTTACTAAAATATAGTTAATAACTGTTTAAAATACTTTAAACAATTTTCAATAATTATGAACTGATAGCGTGGTATATGCAACAAATGCTTTTATTAAAATCTTAAAATAGTTTTCTTTTAGCTAAAGTAACATCATCCACCAGTAAATTCAAAAAATGGCTTTAAATCAACACCTTATTATTGTTAACTTTTTTCCACTGTTCATCCCAATCAATATTCTCATTGAGCATAATTCCATGACTCCATACATATGCATATATATATATATATATATATATACATATATATATATATATATATATATGTATATAGACGCATTCATTTTTTTTTCATATATGTAAGAAAATACTCAAAATAAAAATAAAATAAAAGTGCTACCGCTATGTTTGATATATAATTTAAAAGAGGAAATGAAACTCTATTATAGAGTACCTTAATTTTTTTTACAGGATGTTTATTACTCATTTTATACCGATTAACACAAAAAAGTTAATTGATAAACTTGATTTTATTTTGTTCATAAAACGCACAATTAAAAAAGTCTTATATCTTGTTAATTGATAGTTAATTAGTAGTTTTTTTCTTATATTTCTCATTAATAGGCCTAAATTAATTGATTTTGTCAAAAAACCTTATATAAATATGACTTACCTGAAATTATTTAATCATTATTTAATAAATAAACAAAAGTTAAGTTAGTTTTGCACTAAAAAAACGTAAAAAATGGGCAAAAGACGTATCACTCAAGGTGAAAGATGGCAAATTATTGCGCACATCAAAGAAGGAACCAAAAGTAATAGAGAAATCGCCAAGTTAATTGGAGTTTCTGAGAAATGCATTCGGACAACGAAACAAAACTTTCTTCACACTGGTGGTGCCAGTGAGAAAACGAGGCCAGGTAGACCCTTGTCAACCACGAGAAAGGACGATAGTGTTCTTTTTAGAGCTGTCAGAGCTAATCCAAGAATTAGTTACAAAGAATTGACCACAGAATTCAATACAACGCGAAATACATCTATTTCTCAAAGCACAGTCCGCCGAATACTTATCAAATACAAGATTAGAGTCTACACTGCTTTGAAGAAACCGCTTCTGCGTCCATATGATAAACAAAGGAGACTAAAATGGTGTCGTGAAAGAAGGTATTGGACAATAGATCAATGGGAAAACATTATGTGGAGTGATGAGAGTAACTTTGAGCTTATCAATCGCAAATCTAACATAACAGTCAAAAGAATGGCTCACAAAAAGTATTACGCCAGGTACATTAGATCAACTGTACAAAGTGGAGGAGGCTCGATAGGAATCTGGTCATGCTTCAATTACAAAGGTGTTGGTATGTGCCAAACATACACCGGAAGAATCAACTCCAGAATATACGTAGAAGTACTGGAAAACAACCTAATTCCATCAATTGACCTGCTTATGCTCAATGATAAACCATGGAAACTTTAACAAGATAGCGCTACTGCACATACTGCATACTATACAAAGGAGTGGTTCAACGATAATAATATTATGACAATACCGTGGCCTCCATATTCACCTGATTTGAACCCGATTGAAAACATTTGGGTTTGGATTGATCGTGAATTAGCAAAGGTTCAAATTTCCACACTTGGTCAGCTGAAGGAATTCCATAAGGAGACCTGGTATGGGGTCCCAGAAGCGATGTGCAAAAATCTTGTTGAGTCTATGCCTAGAAGAGTTCTTTGTTGTATTAAAGCAAAAGGCGGATACACAAAATATATATATATATATATATATATATATATATATATATATATATATATGTATTGAACATACTTAAAGACTTATTAGATGTAAGCAGTGAAGTTAAAATTGCTTTGTATTTTTTGAATCAACTTTATGTCGTGATAACAGGAATTATTACAATTAGCATCAATTTATATGCAGTAATTAGCAGCTATCGTTTAATTAAAACGCTATTAAATTTTTTGCGTTAAAATAATATCATCACGCATGAATAAATCTGTGGCTAAACTTGTACTAGAAATTTCATAATCAAGAAAACTAGATTCATTGTTTAGTTGAATTTAAAATGTAAAAGCAAATTTAAATGTTTCAATGAACCATAGTCATAACACATTTTATGACTATGCATAGAAAATTAATTATTGTTATTCTTTGTTGCCACAATAGCATGCAATCTCTTGCGATCTTTTGTAATTCTTTTGTATTTAAACAACATTTGTTGTTGTTTTTGCTGAGACCTTGTAATTATAACTTTATTTGGCTATACAATTTTTGTATAATATTAATATTTAAGTATATAGAAAGTTAATATTAATTATAAAATTGAACTCACATAAATGTAAAATATAAAATTTCCAAGCTTGTTTTTACTATTTTCAAAACCTTTTTTATTTTTCTATTTTTAAAACATTTCTTTTGATGACACAATTTAATACATGGTAATGTAAGGGTTCGTCCGTACAGGACGTCATACAGAACTTAAATAATAATCAGAAGTAGAAGATCATTAACTCTCTTCCGTGGAAATTTTCATTAAACATAAATTGCTATATTATTTTAAAAATCGTTTAATTTTGTGTTGATTTTATATTCATCTTCAATAAATGTTACATACAGTAGTTTTATTTTATTTTTGACGCTGTCCAATTAATGTATGCAGCGCTAAAGTGGAGTAGAAAAAGAAAACATATAAAAAATGATCCCACACATTCCCGGAACAGATTTTAATCTCAGGGGTGAAGGGGATTGGTATATTTGAGAAACTTTTTTCATAAACAGATGCACATATACTGCACCAGCTGCTCCTAAAAATAAGAATTGAATAACTGAATCAGATTTTAATCACACCTTTGAAAAATCTAATGCTGGTACATGAAAGAAAAAAATGGTAAAACTAGACTAACAGGCACAACAGTAGAAAATGCAGCAGAAGATTTTAGTTCTTAATTATGAAAACAGCGATGATGAAGTTGAAGATGGCATAGACTAAAGTATTGATGTTGAAACCTAATTAGAAGATGCTTTTGATAGGCTTTTAAATGCTTCACTATAAAGCTCAAAATACAGATATGAAATACAATCCCTAATACTAAAACCTGTGAATTTAATGAAGATGGAAAAAATAAATAATTTGAACCATTGTCAAATGACAGATTTTTTTTCCAAAAATTGTAGCTTTTGCTGTTAGTGACTTTTTTCATATAAAAAAAGAACTTGTTTTTAATAAAAACCTTTTCCCTTCAAAAAAATGTTAAAAATCTTAAAATGCAACACGACTGGAAAATTTGTTACTTTAGTGGAACACATATAGCTGTAGGAGCCTCAGGAAAGAAGGAGAAAAGATTATATTAGAATAAGAATTACCGAAAAAATATTAAAAAGTATTGAACAGATGAAAAGTATTGAAATGCCTAATATAATAGAACTTACAAACAGCCGTGACCAAGTTGTCTAAAATAAAAAACTTAATTGTGGACATGCGAGACCACACACATCTCCTTAAGCAGTTACTTATAAATCATGGCAAAATTGCTAACCCCTCCCCCTACCTATCACATGAGGTAATTTGTTGATGATGCCTAGGCGTCAGGAATATATGAAGATAAGTGAGAACTTCAAACCACTAATATTTATAGAGAAAAAAGATAAAAATTATTTGAGTGAGAAATAACATTAAGAGTAAAAACTAAATAATGAGTCAAACAAGAATGAGTTGTTCGTGGAACAAGTAATGATAACTTGCTTAAGCAGTGACCGTGGTAATAAATTTAAAAAAAAAGAAAAGCAACCTTATAAAGATGCATAAAGCAACTAGAGCATGTACAAAATATACTATTGAAGGCACTTTAGACAGATGATTATCAGGTAGGTTGTTAATATAGATGAGGAAAAACAAAGAAAAACCGCATGGGAATTCAGCAGTAGGGTGTGTCATACTTTAAGATTTTTTGAAAAAAAAGATCAATTTTTCATAATTAGCTTTGACCCTAACAGATACTGTGGCATATGCTGTTTGCGTATAAAAATGCATCCACACATTTTTATACACAAGTAATTGTTTACACCCACTCACATTGAATTTCATTTGATATCAAAACTATATAAAGTTGCCAATTATCAAAACTATATAAAGTTTGCAAATTATGAACTTTGCTATTTAATCATGGCAGAGTCAATATCTTCAAGAATTAGAAAAAGAAGCAGATCAAAGCTTTCGGAATATATAGGTTCTGGAACAAATATTCTTGTATCAGAAATACCAATTAGTAGTCAAGAGCCCGGTGGTAGGTATCTTTTCCATTTCACACCTGAAAAAAATCAAAAACATATGAAATACGCTGAAGTAATTGCTCAGAATATATAAGTAATAGTGCCAATAAAAGCTTAACAGCGACTGGTTACCTGCAGACTTGGCTTTACTTGAAAATGGGCCAGTTAATTATTCCAGATGATTGACAACAGCCAACAGACATTGCAGAGTTTGGGTCTCAAAACATGAGTTGGGAGGCAAAAACTTTAAAAACCTTAATTTAATAATTAAGTTCATTGTTGGAGTTTACATACCTATGTGGTTTAAAATTAAAGTCAAGCACAGGTTTAATGAAAGACCTAAACATATTCTTTACCAGCTTAGCCTTCTGAAACATCAAAAAGTGAAGTAGTAGAAATTGTTATGCCAACAGTTCAACGTTCAGCGTGAATGCTTTTTCTGAGTGCATCATAAACGCTCTGCTCAGAGAATGTAGAGTAAAGAAAGAACAGTATAGAGTTAATAGACGTCTTCACAATTCCAATAATTTCATGTGCGCACATATTTAATATTACGCTATGGTACTTTATGCACAGAATCGCATGA